GGGAGAGGGCACGTGGTGGGAGCCCAGCACACACACCTCGGGCCCGGTGGGAGAGGGCACGTGGTGGGAGCCCAGCACACACAAACCTAGGGCCCCGTGGGAGAGGGCATGTGGTGGGAGCCCAGCACACACACCTCAGGCCCGGTGGGAGAGGGCACGTGGTGGGAGCCCAGCACACCCTCAGGCCCGGCGGGAGAGGGCATGTGGTAGGAGCCCAGCACACACATCTCAGGTCCAGTGGGAGAGGGCACGTGGGTCGAGGAGGAGCTGCCTCTAACAGCCCCAGCATGGCCCCACAGCATGAGCTGTATGAGGACACAAAAGCGCCTCAGCGGCCAGAGGAAAAAAGCATAACTGCAACATGGCCCAGGCGTGGGAGGGAGCAAGAGGACAGTCGGGGGCCTGGACAGAGGGTCAAGACTTGACAGCTTCCACAGCACCCTGCCATTGGCCCTGCCACAGGAACCAGGACAGAACATCGGACTCTGCTGGGCTCTGACAAGCGGCAGGGCCTCCTCCCACTCCATGTGCAAAGCTGCACTGCGGTCTGGCCCTGTCCCACAACGGCCACAGCACCCACTGCCTGCAAGGAGCTCAGGACGCCACCCCTAGGTCAGCACACAAACGCAAAGCTAATTCCTTACAAGTCACAGGTACTGGGGGCAGCCCAGGCTCCAGCCTACCCCTGGACACTGCACGCTCCTGGGGAGCGTCTACAAAGACCAGTACTCTCCACCACTACACAGCATGGGCTGTGTACCCTGCACCATGCCAAGTTGGGTTCTCTCGATGACCCTGAGACAGGTGTGAACTCGCCTGACCCACCGGTAGGAGGTGTTCCGAAGCTCGCTGATGACCTGGGTGAGTTGCGAGTGGGTCCTGGAGGCGTAAATGATCTTTGGGATGTCCGTGTAGCAAGCTGACCAGATACAAGCAAGCACACAGGTCATGGCTCTCACACAACGTTCTCACGTACCAAAGGCAGGTGGCATTCAGCTAACTCAGCCCTGCACACAGCCAGCAATCTGATACCGCAGACACTCGTTTATCAAAAATGGGTGACGTGGGTATTCCAGTGCCCGAATTCAGCAGAAAAGCCCAACCCCAGGTTTACACCCAGGATGGCAAGAAATTGTGTGGTACCTACAAAATGCTTGAGCTCTGTTTGAGACGGCAGAGGGCCCCGTGGACCACCCCATCCTCAGCACCATCCCTTTCCCACCGTCCCCACAGGAAGCCAGGAAGGGCCTGGGAACTAGGTCACCTATGGGGTCTCCATCAGCAGCAGCAGCACTGCCCCAGGATGACAAGGCCCGATCTGAGAAAAGCTCCCCTTGCATCCTCTCGGCAATCTTGCGGGCAGAGATGGTGTCTCGGAGGTGTTCTCGCCAGGCCAGCGTGGTGCACAGGAGGCACAGCGTCTTCCCTGTGCCTGTGGGGCTCTCCAGGATGCCATTCACCTTCTGAAGGAGTTGGGAGCAAGGGTTATGAGGAGGCCAGGAAGAGGTGAGGCTGCACAAGCCACCCTGAGACAAGCCTCAGCAGCAGTGGGCAGCACTTTGAAGATGCAGAGGGCACTGTGAGGTGGCGAGGGCACCATGGGACCATGGAAGAGTCCTCGGGACACTTTCCACTCTTGCCCTAAAAGGCGTGAAGCAACTCGGCTGCCATCAGCAAACAATTTGCAGAACACTACGCAAAATACGACAGTTATTTTTCAGCCTAAGGAGTAAGATAACTAATTAGGTGTCAAGTCTCAAAATAGGAAATTGTTCTGCATTTCTGGATCCAAACATTAACGCTGTCTTATCTGATGTCCTACATACAAGCTCTCAGATGGGAACCTGAGCAGCAAACTCCGGGAGGGGAGGGGTGTGAGCCGGGTACAGGAGGGCACCCAGAAGGCAACCGGTGCTGCTGCCACCTTCCTGCACCCCCTAGACTCAAAGACCGTCAAAGTGAGGCTGGCCCCCACTGCCCCTAACGGAAATCCTTCCTCCTGACCCTTGGATGCCAGCCGCTCCTAGAGAGGCCCCAGGCACTCCCAAGACTGTCACCATCAAGGACGATCATCTTCACCTGTCAGTCTTCTCTCCCACCCCACCTGGAACGCCAGCCCTTTTTTTTTTTTTTTTGAGACACAGTTTCACTCTGCCGCCCAGGCTGGAGGGTAATGGCATGACCTCGACACCAGCCCTTTTTGTGACAGGGGCTGCGTCTCGTCTCGCACGGAGGGGCCTGGCTGGCACCGCCCTGGCAGAAGCCCCGCCCACGGTCCTTCACTCAGAGCCTGTGCTCTACCTTCTGCAGACATTCCAGGACCTTGGCCATGTACTCCTGCTGGCATTTGTAGGGCTGGAAAGGGAAGTCTACGGTCACACCATTCAGGACTATCTTGGGCATGTCAGCCTGTTCTCAGGAGGGCTGAGCGCGTCGCTGAGGGGCAGGCTGATTCGGGTCTGTGCGAAAACACCACTCCGAAGGTCCCAGGGTCTCAGCCACGCCTGGCGGTCGATGCGAGCCTGTGCCTGGGACACAGCGCTGCTCTCCTCCAGAATCCCTACGGCAAAGCCTGGGAAAAAAGAAAGACCTGTCTGCAGACAGCCTTTGTGGGCACGGGCTTTCCCGGGCATTTCCACAAGTCCCTCCTGCGGAGAGGGTCGAGGACAGCCCGGGCACACCCCAGCACGAGGGGCCGGCGGGGACGGAGGCGCTCGATGGCCGCGCCCGGCCTTATCCTCCCGCCCCGCAACCCCGCCCTTCTCTGGCAGAGGCGCGCGCGGCGCTGCACCCTCCGCCTGCAGTACGCCCGCGGCTGGACGGGCAAGCGGCACCCCCGCCGGCGGCACCACGTCGGGGCGGAGGGTCTGCGCCGCCGGCCCCGCCTCTCCAGCCCTCCGCCCTCCTGGGGGTTGGAGGCCACTCCCCAGCCCGCCCGGGTGGGCAAGCAGGGGCAGCGGAGGCAGCGAGAGCGCCTCCCGGGATGCCGATCCGTGCCGCCCCGGGCAAGCCACTCAACCTCTCTGGGCCTCAGTCCAGCGCGGCCTGGGAACCGGGACTAACAGGCCAGACGCGGACACACTGAAAGACCGCCCTTCCCTCCAGCCCCGGCCATGGGCTCCGCCAACGACGCGGCGCCAGCGCACACAGAAAACTACAGGTCCCAGAATGCAGCGCAGCCAATCCACCAGCTCGCGGCCCCGAGGGCGGCGCGGCGCCTGCCGGGACCGGTAGTTTCGAAAACCGTAACGCGCCCCCCCGAGCCGCTCAGGTAAAAGAACTACTTGCAGGGTCACTGCAACTCACTGCTCACTTGCCTTCGCGGCGAACCCTCTAGAACCGGGGGGCCCTCAGGAACTCAACCGACTCCAGTCGAGCGCCGCCACCGCGTGCCCCCTGTCAGCCAGTTCGGACTTCGCGGGCTGAGGCGCGCAGTCGCCGCTGAGCGCGCTGTACTTCCGCCCCCACTTCCGGTCCGCTGCTTTGTGCTCCGGTCGGAAACTGTTTCCCCGCGGAGGGGGTCCGCCTGCTCTTCGGCTCCTTGAGGTCTACGCGGCCCTTTGCGCGCTCCTTGCCCGGCTCCCCTGCCCAGTGAACCTCACTTCCGTCGCCCACAGGCAGACATCTGGGGTCCTGCCCGTCTCCTCCCTGGGCGTCGCCCCCAGCAGCGTCTCCGTTCCACCACCGCCTCCCTGGGCCCCGCCCCCACCATTGCCCGCGGAGCTGCACGGACCTCCTCCCCTGAGGCATCTTCCTTCTCGCCGCCGACCGCTCTCCCGAACACGGAAGACGGCTGCCCCCGCCCAGGCCCCGGCCCCTGGGAGCCCTGGCCGCCTCCTCGCCTTCCTCTGCCGCTCGGCCCCGCTTCTGCCCGGTCCCCGTCCCCGCACAGGCCGGGCGGGCCTCCCTGAGTCCCCGGCACCCGGCGCCGGCGGACAGCAGGGCGGACTCCCAGAGCGAGGCCCGCCGGCCCCGCGGGCTCAGCCCCGCGTCAGGCTGCTCGTCTCGGCGGCCGCAGCCCCCGTTTCCCAAAAGGCCCCACGAGGACGTCGACGCTGCCCGAGCGCGCGCGGCCCGCAGGCAGCGCCTGCTCACGGCCGTTCGACGCTCGCGGTTTCCCACGGGTGGCGCGCGCGTGGCCGTGCGATCCCACGCTCCTGCTCCAGACGGCGCTCGGCCGAGAAGCCCCCGCCAGGGGCCTGTTCTGGTGAGGGCGCCGCAGGCTGCCTGTCCGGGGCTCGGCAGGGAGCTGGCGAGGAGGAGGTGCAGCCACGCGCGCTTGTGGAAGGGGCTTCAGTGCCGCCCACGCTGCGGATACGGTTCGGCTGTGTCCCCCGCCACGTCCACCTCCAACTGGGATGCCCACGTGTGGAGGGAGGGCCTGCAGGGAGGTGATGATTGGATCGTGGGGTCAGTTTCCCCCAGGCTGCTCTCAGATAGTGAGTGCTCACGAGCTCCCGTGGCTGGAAGGTGGCGGGTTCCCCTTCTTCCTCTCTCTCTCTCTGTCCTCTCCTGACGCCGTGTCAGACCTGGGAACTACGACCCACAGATTTCGCCTTCTGCCATGATTGTAATTTTCCAGAGGGCTCCCCAGCCATGATCTCAGCTCGCTGCAGCCTCCACCTCCCAGGTTCAAGCGATTCTCCCAGCCTGCCGAGTATCTGGGATTACAGGCACCCACCACCACACCCAGCCAATTTTTGTAGTAGAGACAGGGTTTCACCATGTTGCCCAGGCTGGTCTGGAACTGACCTCGGGTGATCCACCCGCCTCAGCCTCCCAAAGTACTGGGATTACGGGCGTGAGCCACCGCGCCCAGTCAGGTAGTGTCTTAATAGCAGTCTGAGGTCGGACAAATGCTTGACACACTTCTCCCCGGACGACCCTGGGATAAATCCTCTTATTGTCCACATTTAATGTGTGAGGAAGTGAGGCACAGGGTGTTTAGACTGCCCAGAGCCTGCCAAGTAGCCAGGAGTTTTACCTTTTGCTGCCACACACCCCATCTACTGGAGAGCGGTGGCCAGAAAAGGCTGTCCCGTGGACTGAGCTGAAGTCTTGAGTCATCTGCTCCTTGCCAGCTGCTGGAGGAGCTTGCATTCTGGCCTGGGGCGGTCAGGAACTCCCGTACCCCTGCTCACCTCCTCTAGTTGCTGACGTAGCCACAGCTCCCACAGACAGCAGGTGCTTGACAGATGGCTGCTGAATGAGTGTCCTACTGAGGTACAGGGCTCCTCCTAGGAGCCAGAGTTAACTTCAAGAGTGCAGAAGTCTGATAAAAGTCACGGTTTATGAAAAACATGTTTTTAGATGAATTCTTGCTCTTGTTGCCCAGGCTGGAGGGCAATGGCATGATCTTGTCTCACTGCAACCTCTGCCTCGTGGGTTCAAGTGATTCTCCTGCATCAGCCTCCTGAGTAGCTGGGATTACAGGCACCTGCCATCACACCTGGCTAATTTTTGTATTTTTAGTAGAGACAGGGTTTCACCATGTTGGCCAGGCTGGTCTTAAACTCCTGACCTCAGGTCATCTGCCCACTTCAGCCTCCCAAAGTGCTGGGTTTACAGGTGTGAGTCACCACAACCGGCCAAAACATTTTTAATTTTTTTGAGACGGTCTTGCACTGTCGCCCAGGCTGTAGTGCAGTGGTGCGGTCTCAGCTCACTGCAATCTCCGCCTCCTGGATTCAAGTGATTCTCCTGCCTCAGCCTCCCAAGTAGCTGGGACTACAGGCATGCACCACCACACCCAACTAATTTTTTTGTATTTTTAGTAGAGATGGAGTTTCACCATGTTGGCCAGGAGGGTCTCAATCTCCTGACCTCATGATCTGCCCACCTCAGCCTCCCAAAGTGCTGGGTCTACAAGCATGAGCCACTGTGCCTGGCCAAATTTTTTTTTTTTTTTTTTTTTTTTGAGATGGAGTCTCTCACTATTGCTGGGGCTGGATTGCAGTGCCGTGATCTCGGCTCACTGCAACCTCCCACTCCCAGGTTCAAGCAATTCTCCTGCCTCAGCTTTCTGAGTAGCTGGGACTACAGGTGCAGACCACCACACCCAGCTAATTTTTTGTATTTTTAGTAGAGATGGGGTTTCACCATGTTGGCTGGGCTGGCCTTGAATGCCTGACCTCATGATCCACCTACCTCAGCCTCCCAAAGTGCTGAGATTAAGGTGTGAGCCACCTGCCCCCCACCCCATTTTTTTTAACTAGCACATGTGCACATGAAAAACATCTTTGAGGTGGGGAGGAGCGGCTGCACGGGGCCAGGGTGGTAGAGGCGTGGCTGGGCCCTGCTGGAGTCCCGGGCTTCATGCTCATGCCAGCCCGCTGCCCCCAGAATGTGCTCCTCATGACCTGGCACCACAAGACCACCGTCTTCATGGACGCCAGGGAGTCCAACACATGTTGGAGCTGAAGCGCATTGTCACAGGCATCCTCAAGCGGCTGCGTGACGAGCAGCAGCTGTACAAGGACAACCAAGTCTCGGATGATGGTAAGACACTGGGCAAGTGTGGCTTCACCAGCCAAGCGGCACGGCCACAGGCCCCTGCCACAGTGGGGAAGGCCTTCCGGCAGAGGACACCTGTGAGCCCCTGTGTCCCCAGCCGTTCTCAGCCTGATGAGGTGCTCAATGTGATGAGAAGCAGGGACTCAGAGGGCAGTGCCAGTGAAGAAGTGTTGCAATGAGGGCACCCTAGAGGCCATTCCCCCTAATTAAAGAGATTTGGAAAAAAGGAAAAGAAGAAAAACATCTTTGAAATGCCTGCTCATGCACTTTCTGCAGTTGACCTTGGTGAGAAGTCAAAATCTGCTCCAAGACCTGGGGCTACATTGGGGCAAACAATCAGTACAGCTACTGTGTATGCCCATTAGCACACTGACAATCAGTACAGCTACTGCATGCGCCTGTTAGCACACTGACAATCAGTACAGCTACTGCGTGCACCTGTTAGCACGCTGACGGTCCGTACAGCTATTGCGTGTGCCCGTTAGCACGCTGACCATCAGTACAGCTACTGTGTGCGCCTGTTAGCACACTGACAATCAGTACAGCTACTGTGTGCGCCTGTTAGCACACTGACAGTACAGCTACTGTGTGCGCCTGTTAGCACACTGACAATCAGTACAGCTACTGCGTGCACCTGTTAGCACACTGACGGTCCGTACAGCTACTGCGTATGCCCGCTAAGCACTGCCAGTACAACCATGGCCTGTGCCTTCTGGTACACTGTCCATACAGCTGTTGTGTGTGCCTACCAGCCTGTGCCCAGTAGCGCGCTGAGAGTCAGTACAGCCGACAATCAGTGCCCTTGTGTATGCCCACTAGTGTGCACTAGGTGTGCACATCTATGCTCCTGGCACTATGCCACGGGCTTCCACACACCTGGTCCCTGTGCTCCAGATGAGGACGCAGGCTCATAGAGGGTCTGGCCAGAGTCACAGTGAGTGTGAGGCACTGCAGTGCTCTGAGCCTGACTGGGCTGGTCCTACCCCACCCACATGAGAGGACTCTGGAGGTCCCAGACAGGTGTACTCCTCTTGATCCCTAGCACCTGTGTTCCCGCACCTGGGGCTGGAGTCCATCAGAAGGAGGCTGTCTCCAACTGCCACTGTGGTGGCCAACAGGGAGGACACGGCTGCACTGTGGTGGGCAGCTCTGTGTGCCTCTGCACCCTTCCTCCTCCTTCCCAGAGCTGGGTTCCTAGGAATGGCCCAGGGGCTTGCTCTGTGTGTATATTAATTTGATAGAGCTTCATAGCAAATCACCACAAACTCAACAGCTTAAAACAACCCTCGGTTATTACCTTCCAGTTCCTAGTATCCTAAGGCTGAAAGGAAGTGGGCTGAGTTCTTGTGTGGAGGCCCTGGAGTCAAACCTGCCTCCAAGCGCATTCTCTTCCTGTTGGAAGAACTCACTTCCTTGCCGTTGAGGTCGTGTTGTTTTGCTGGCTGTTGGCTGGGGACAGCTCTCAGATCCTTGCCATGTGGCGCCTCATCTCAACAACAGAGAACCTCCTTTGCTTTTGCCCCTCCAATTTCTTCAACCAGTCAGAGGAAACTGCTTTTAAAGTGCTCCTGTGATGGGGTCAGGGCCCACCTGATGACCCTCCTGTCCTATGTGCTACCTCTGTGCCACGTGGTTTCACATTCTCGGGCATCAAATCCACCAGAATCACAGTCCCAGGGACAACACCCACTTGCATGCAGGGCCCGGGACTCTCCAGGCCACCCTGGGGTGTGGTGGCCTCAGGAGCCCCAACACATGCTGGAGCTGACACTTGCCCTGGCTTTCCCATTGCTGTGCCGGCCTCATCGCTCTGCAAGTCTCCTGAGGTTTGCCAGAGTTTTACTCTTGGCTCCATGACTTAGTTTCTTGTAGGGCAAAGCACTTCTCCCAGCCTGGGCAGCTCCATCCCTGCAATGGAATGACACTCCATTTGTCTATCAGGCTTTCCCTTTGGGAGTTATGAGGAGAGGGGGAGGCAGGAGAGCTTGCCCCCCACTCACTAAGCACACACAACCATGGCACCCCACCTCTCCATCTCTGGGAGGCCGTGTCATTGTCTCATCTTACACGTGAGAAACAAAGGCCCAGGTGTTGAGACAGTGCCCCTGGCCTTGGCCACACAGTGAGTGAACCTCAGAGCCTGGCAGGTGGGAACCCACCTCTGTTTCACAGCACAGCCTTTGTTCTGGCCTCACCGCTTCACTTTCACACTTCTCTGCTCAGGTCCTACCCATCCCTGGGCCCACAGGAGATGCCCCTTGGAGGCCTCCAGGCCAGCATCCACCGTGTGGCTGTGGCATCCTCTCCGATGGCAGTCACAGACCTAGACCCTGTTGGCACCGGCCCAGAATTGAGAGGCCTGGGTGCAGGGCTCGGCGGCCTCACCCTAGGGGTGGGACCTCCTCTCCTTCCTGGCCCCTGCCCCACCTGCCCTGTGGAAGGGGGGGGCTCATCTGCATCCCACTCTCAGGCCTCACAAAGCCAAGTTCAGGAAGCAGCTGTCCTGCTGTGAGCAGTTGTAGGGAGGGCGTCTGGTTGCAGTCGGACCCCTCCTTCCCTCCTCCGCCCTTTCCCTCTGAGGGCTGCCGCCCCTTCCCAGCCAGGCGCTGGCTCCTCTGTCTCTTCCTGCCTCCGTCCCTCCTTCCCTCTCCCTCCCTCTCCCTCTCTCCTTCCCCCCAACTCTCTCTCTCTCTCTCTCCTCTCTCTGTCTCTCCCTCCCTCCCTCTCTCTCTTTCCTTCCCTCTCCCCCGCCGCCGCGCCCGCCTCCCGCCCGCCGTCGCTCCCCCTCCCCTCCCCAGCACTGCAGCACTAGCCAGCAGCAGCTCCGGCCGCCGCCCGCGCCTCTCCAGCCTCCGCAGGCCCCGCCGCCGCCAGCACCATGGCCAGCACCTTGTCGGGTAGGCGCCGGGGCAGGGGGCTTCCTGGGGCGGCGGGGGCCGGGCGGGGGCCGAGCGGGGGCCTCGTCTGGCCTCCTCCGAGCCCGGGGCCGGCTGCGGACGCCGGTTTCCCTTCTCCAACCCTGCGCATGACGAGCCTGGGCCCGACCCGCCCGAGCTGGGGGCTGCGGCGCGGGGGACCGGGACGCCGGGCTTGGGGGCGCCTCGCCCCTTGGGGAGCCGCGTGCCACGCAGGGGGCTCCTGCCGCAGGGTGGCTCCGAGGCCCGGGCGTGGGCTCGTGACCGCGTGGGCGCGCTCGCCGTGTGCGGGCGGAGTCCCTGGGGCGTCGGCGACCCTAGATCTGGGTCTCACGGAGCCTCCGCGGGGAGGCGGAGAGGGGGTGGAACCCTCCGCCAAAGCCGCAGCCGGGACGGGCGCTGCCTGCGCCCGGGGAGCGCAGGGCTGGAGCGGGCGCTCGGGTGGGGGGGGGGCAGACGCGGAGCCCGGAGAGCGGGGACCGCGCCCTCCCCACACCGCGGCGGCCTCGGGGACCTCCCTTCGCGGTGCCCCGGGCCCCCTGCTCTGGCCGGAAAAGCCACAGCCCTCTGCGCCGCGGGGCGTGGATGGGGGGAGGGGCTGCTCCGTTCCCAAACCCTCCGGAAGGAGAGGGGACCCCCCGCCTTCGAAGGCGGCGCCCACCCCGCCCCCTGGCCCGTCCCGCGCGGACCTCAGCCGGAGGGGCGGGCGGGAGGGGCGGGCGCAGGCCCGGGGCGGGGGGAGGATTCTGGACCTAGGGACGAAGGGCCCCCACCTCCTTCCCATCACCGCCTCTGCCCACGAACCGTACTCCCTCCTACCTCTTCTTCTGCCCTAGGAAGAGATGGTTCTCCTCCCGCACCCCACCCACGTGCCCGCCCTGACCCCGCCCCTCAGGCCCCACGGGCTTGGGGCGCCAGGTGACTTCAGCACCTGCCAGGAGGGGACCGTATGTGTCACTGACCACATCTCCCCACCTGTCTGGGAGTGGTGTCCATCTGTGCTTCCTTCCTCTGCCTCCTCCCTGGCACCCCCAGGGATACTGGGGGGCTCTCAGCAGAGGGGACTCCCCTCCTGCCCCTGAGGACAGCTCTGTCCTCCCTGGCTGCCTCCTGTCCTTTCCTGACAGCCTTTCCCTGATGGGTCCTCCCCCTGGGCTGGGCTCCTGGGGCTAAGCTGGGAAGGCGAGGCCATCTCGGCATCTGGCACTTGGCTCATCTCTCTTTTGTGGGCTGTGCTCACATTCTCCTTCTGAACCCAGAGTCTGACCTTCTTGAGCTGTGTGGTCTTGTACAAGCTGCATAACCTCTCAGGACCTGGGTCTCCTTATCTGGATGGAGGTCATGGCACCTCCCCTGGGGCTTGTTCTGAGGCTTCAATATTTCAGGAAAGGTGCTTGGCCACTTGTCTGGGAAGAGATGAATGCTCACTGCACGCCAAGCAGTCTGACTGCGGTAGCCACATTTCTGAGTCTCCTGCGCAGGTAAAGGCTCCTGCCAAGCTGGGCTCTTAGCACTGTGAGAGGCAGCCTGGGTGACAGTGACCTCCATCTGCCCCTGGGGGAGCCAGCAGCAGCCTCCAGGGGTCAGAGGACATGTTGGTCCCCCTGCCCTCTCAGTTCTGGACAGACTCCCCACCTCCAGGAGCTCTTGACAGGAACCTACAGTCAGGCCCAGGCTCATGACCCGGCTTTCATCTAGCGTGCTGTGTGATGCTGGGTGGGATACTTGCCCTTTCTGAGCCTCCTTTCATCCTCTGTAGAAGTGAGGCTGATAGGCCAGCTGTTGTGGCTCACACCTGTAATCTCAGCACTTCGGGAGGCCGAGGTGGGTGGATCACGAGGTCAAGAGATCGAGACCATCCTGGTCAACATGGTGAAACCCCGTCTCTACTAAAAATACAAAACATTAGCTGGGCATGGTGGCGCATGCCTGTAATCCCAGCTACATGAGAGGCTGAGGCAGGAGAATTGCCTGAACCCGGGAGGCGGAGGTTGCGGTGAGCCGAGATCGCGCCATTGCACTCCAACCTGGGCAACAAGGGTGGAAACTCCTTCTAGAAAAGAAAAAAAAAAGCCGGGCATGGTGGCTCATGCCTGTAATCCAAGCACTTTGGAGGCCAAGGTGGGCGGATCACTTGAGGTCAGGAGTTCAAGACCAGCCTGACCAGGATGGTGAAACCCCGTCTTTAAATAAATAAAAAAATAATAAAAAAAATTGAAAAAAAAAAAAAGAAAAAAAAAAAAAAAAAAAAAAAAATAATAAAAAAAATTGAAAAAAAAAAAAAGAAAAAAAGAAAATTAAAAAAGAAAAAGGAAGAAGAAGAAGCCGAAGTGAGCTGATAAGGACACCCACCTGGGAGGGTGGGAGGGTGGGTGTGCTGCGTGGTGCCCGGATCAAGCACTGCTGCACCCTGCTGCTGGAGGCCTGCCTGGCCCCTTCCTGACTCCTGCTCATGAATCATTCAAAAGGCCAAACCACATTTCCTGGGTGTCTAATGTTTAGTTCAAAGAGAAGCAGGGAGACGAAACCAGCCCAGCTCATGGCGAGAATTGTTTTTTCCCTGAAGGAGGGGAAGGATGTTGTGGGGGGGGTGGGCGTGGGTAGGGGGGTGGTGAGAAAGAAGGAAGTTTTGAGGGAGGGGCTGGGCGTGGTGCCTCACACCTGTAATCCCAGCATTTTGGGAGGCCGAGGCAGGCGGATCAACTGAGGTCAGGAGTTCAAGACCAGCCTGGCCAACATGGTGAAATGCCATGTCTACCAAAATTACAAAAAATAAGGCCAGGCTCAGTGGCTAATTCCTGTAATCCCAGCACTTTGGGAGGCTGAGGTGAGTGGATCACCTGAGATCAGGAGTTCGAGGCCAGCCTGACCAACGTGGAGAAACCCGTATCTACTAAAAATACAAAATTAGCCAGGCATGGTAGGACATGCCTGTAATCCCAGCTACTCCAGAGGCTGAGGCAGGGGAATTGCTTGAACCTGGGAGGCAGAAGTTGCAGTGAGCTGAGATCGTGCCCTTGCACTCCAGCCTGGGCAATAAGATCAAAACTCCATCTTAAAAACAAAATACAAAAAATAAACTGGGTATGGTGGTGTGCACCTGTAATCCCAGCTACTCGGGAGGCTGAGGCAGGAGAATCACTTGAGCTGGGGAGACAGAGGTTGCAGTGAGCTGATAGCGCGCCACTGCACTCCAACCTGGGTTACAGAGCAAGATCCCATCTTAAAAAAGAGAGAGAGAGAGGGAGCAGCGCCTTGAGGCCCTGGGTGGGGGGGCTTCTCCGGCTCCAGCTGTGTCTGTGGAGAGGTGGTCTGGATGTGTCTGGGTCTTGGCATCCTCCCTCTGCAATGAGAGGCAGAAGACTTGCTCTTTAAACCTCAGCAGCTCTGAAAATACTGGTCCAATGTCCTGCCTGGCCCCTGGTCAGCCCTGCCCCATGTGCAGGCTTCACCCTGCTTGCTGCCTCTGGCATTAGCCAATTCCTGACCTGCTGTTCTGCCACCTCCAAGCTGCCCTTCCTCCAGCCAGACCACAGGGGAGGCCTCCCTCCCAGGCTCCGTCCTGTGGGCGCCCGGTGGCACTTGCTCCTTGAGGGTCAGTCTCCTGGGGTAGAAGCTCCTCATGGGCCATCAGCTGGGAGAAGCCAATCCAGGGGGTCTCTGTGGCCATCAGATGCTGAGCCACACCTGTGTTTGCAGCCACAGGACCCAGTTCCTCACCTTTCAGCTGGAGACGCCTCACATGTCTCCTGGGCAGAGCCAAGACCTGTGAGAGGTCTGACCTGCATGCCTACCCCTGCCCCTTCATTCCTGATGATGCAGGTGCTCACACCTGCCTCTGAATTGCCGCCAGCCTTCCACCTGCTGAGGTGGCAGTAGACTGGAAGGGGTCTCCCTGGTGTTTGTCCTTCCTCTGTATGAGGCTGCAGCTCTTTTTTTTCTGTGAAAATTTCGGGCTCAAGGTGGACAGGGGTTTTGAGCAGCTGTTAATTATGTTTTCTGGCCTGTACGGTAAACACATTCAGGGGCTTGTTTTTTTTTTGGGGGGGGGGTTTGGGGAAGGAGTCTTGCCCTTTTGCCCAGGCTGGAGTGCAGTGGCACAATCTCAGCTCACTGCAACCTCCGCCTCCCAGGTTCAAGTGATTTTCCTGCCTCAGCCTCTGGAGTAGCTGGGACACCCGGCTAATTTTTTATTTTTCGTACACACGTGGTTTTACCATGTTGGCCAGGCTGGTCTCAAACTCGGGACCTCAGCTGATCCACCTGCCTCGGCCTCCCAAAGTGCTGGGACTACAGGCCTGAGCCACCGCCTGTAATTTTTGATGCGTGATGAGGAAGGACAATCTGGATGATGGGGGCCTGCAGTCTGTGACAGGGATCTGGGTGCCAGCAGGTTAGGTCTGCAGGGGCCAAGTCCCTGCTTTCCTGTCCTCTCTCAGGACCTAGATGTGTTCTGCCCCAACCCCAACTACCTCTTGCTCTCTCCCTCCCCCGCCCTCCTGAGCACAGGGCTGGCCACCTCCTCAGCTCCTCCAAACATCCCCCATGTCTCCTGACCTGCTGCTGTGGACCAGGTGACTGGCACACTCTCTAACCCCACATCACATGTCCTGGGATATATCCTTCTTCCTCCTTTTTAAAATTAAATTTTAATAGACTGGGCACTGTGGCTTACACCTATAATTCTGGTGCTTTGGGAGGCTGAGATGGGAGGATCCCTTGAGGCCAGGAGTTCAAGACCAGCCTGGGCAACAGAGCGAGACTGTATCACTACAAAGTATTAAAAAAAAAAAAAAAAGCAGCAGCAGCTGGTGTGGTGGTGTGCGCCTGTAATCCCAGCTGCTGAGGTGGGAGGATCACTTGAGCCCAGAAGTTCAAGGCTGCAGTGAACTACAGCTGCACCACTGTACTCCAGCATGGGCAACAGAGCACAATCCTGTCTCTAAAAAATAAAATAGGCTGGGCCTGGTGGCTCATGCCTGTAATCCCAGCACTTTGGGAGGCCGAGCCGGATGGATCACCTGAGATCAGGAGTTTAAGACCAGCCTGGCCTACATAATGAAACCCTGTCTCTACAAAAATACAAAAATTAGCCAGGCATGACGGTGTGTTCCTGTAATCCCAGCACTCAGGAGGCTGAGGTGGGAGAATCGCCTGAACCTGGGAGGCAGAGTTTGCAGTGAGTTGAGATCGTGCCATTGCACTCCAGCCTGGGCGACAGAGTGACCCTCCATCTCAATAAAATAATAATAATAATAATAATAATAATAATGAAAAATAAGATAGGCTGGGCGTGGTGGCTCACACCTGTAATCCCAGCACTTTGGGAGGGCAAGGGGGGCAGATCACGAGGTCAGGAGATCAAGACTATCCTGGCCAACATGGTGAAAACCCGTCTCTACCAAAAATACATAAATTACCAGGTGTGGTGGCGGCACCTGTAGTCCCAGTTGCTCGGGAGGCTGAGGCAGGAGAATCGCTTGAACCTGGGAGGCAGAGGTTGCAGTGAGCCGAGATTGTGCCACGGCACTCCAGCCTGGCGACAGAGTGAGACTCCATCTCAAAATAAAATAAAATTAGTAAAATTAACTTTTAATAACACAAAAAATACATGAACAGGTTTTGTGCGTGAAAAAATAAAATCTGACAAGTCAGATCAAAGTCCCTTGTGAGGCTCCCCCACCTGGTCCCCTCCCCCCCAACGAAGACAATGACCAAGACAGCTGGTTTGTCTGGCTTCTCAGCTCAAAGGCTCTGTCCTTCCCCCAAAGACTCTCAGGTGGGCCTGCCCACCTTGGGATTCCTTTCTGCTCCTCCTTGCACCCTCTTGGGCTCTGTGCTGCTCTGTCCAGAAAAGTGTAGGTTACCAGGAAATGTAGGTCAGGACAGGTCATTCTCTGCACTGGTTACAGGAAGACTCAGCTCACCGTGAAAGGCTGCATTATGTCTGCCTTGTGTCCTGTTTCTTTATTTTTTTTCTCTTTTCTTTTCTTTCTTTTTCTGTTTTT